AAGTTGATTATTGTATAGTGGTATAAATCGAAATCGAAATCAAAATTATCAAATTAAGGTTATTATATACAAATAAGTATAATCAAAACTGGATTATTATCAATAATAAAGCCTTTTGAAAAATTGAATATATTATTATAGGACTAATATGAATATTAATAGAAATTAGATAAGATATATAATATTCGATAAGGAGAAAAGAAGGTATATAGAATAATACTAACTATATAGTAAATAGATATTTAAGATATCTATTCAAGCTAATTAAGAATAGATAGTGTGTATATAACAGGTGTAGGTGGGTGCAGGTAGGTATAGGTAGGTATAGGTAGTCACGCTTGGTGAACCCGTGACAATTTCTGATTTTATCTTAGATTTTGTTTTTAGTATTTAGACTAATTTTAAGAAAATATCATTAAAAACTCAAAGTTTACAAAATTGCTTTTTCAAATAATTTATTAACAAGATTTTATATAAATCATTAATATAAAAATATAAAAATAGATATAAAATTATAAAAAAGTTTTTGATATAATTATATATTATATAATAATTATCTAATTATAATATTATTAAAAGATAATTATAATCAAAAGGGAATAATATAACTATTTATCTAAATATTAAAGATAAATATAACTTTAAAAAAATATAATATAATAATTGATCTAAACTACTAGAAAAGGAGATGTAAATACCCTTTCTAGACTATTATATAACTCTAATACTATTAATAGTTTATTTAAATAGATATTCTCTTTATTATATAATTATATTAATAAAATCTCTTTTTCTGAATTTGATATTCTTGCATAGACCATCCGTACTTTTTGAACAGCCAATCAAATAATGGCGTGTTTTAAAATATGTATGTTGTTGAATGTACAAATCATGTGACTACGCGGCAGCGGCCCGTTACATCTGATATTCCGTTGTCGCGTCGACGAGACCTCATCAATTTTTTGTTTTGAACCACTCACTCATTTTCCACTGTCGCTACCCTTCATACTAAACACGATAATCATACACGGCTTAGAATTGTAGCATTCATTTGTTTACGTGACAATTCAATATTCACCGAATTGAACCATTGTCACAAGATTCGTTGCGCAATCTACTTATTTCCCTTCATTTTGCCTTCATATATGCGTGTTCCTCCGTTTGATCAACTCATCTATCATACGATATGCCTCCTGCATCTGTATCCAATTGTGGAAATCCACTACTTCTCAAATGGCTCGAAGAATGGGTTGTCGAGGCACAAGAGCGAGGATACAAATCTCTCTCGACCTTGAAAAGAGCCCGCGATTCCATGAAAGTCTGTCCTATGAAATTTGATCATCCCAGTCAAGCAATATGCTTGAATGGACTTGGATATGGTCTTGCCAAAAGATTGACGGAGAGTCTGGAGAAGTATTGCGATGAGATTGGGATTGCTATGCCCAAGAAGCCAAGGGGCAAAAAGAGAAAGTCGGCTGTTGTTGATGGGGGAGGAGAGAATGGGGATGACCTTGTTACGCCTTCGCCTTCACCAAAGAAAGTTAGGAAGACTAAATCCTATGTTCCAACATTGAGATCGGGCGCTTATGCTATATTGCTGGCTTTATCTACGCAACCAAAGAATAGTAGGAGTGGGATCACCAAAGAAGAGATCATCGCATTAGCAGAACCTAATTGCGATTTCTCCTTTACACAACCAAGACCTAGTGAATATTATACGGCGTGGAATTCCATGAAAACTTTGATCAACAAAGATTTTGTATACACGAAAAAGAATCCAGCTTCCAGATATTATCTCACAGATGAGGGGTGGGATCTTGCCGATACCATCAATGCTAGCGGTGATCCCAAGTTAGGACGAGCAAATGATTTCCAACCTGTCGAACCCGGTCCATCTGGCAGGACATCCAGAAATCAAGGCGAAGAGTCTGATTCAGAACTCGAAGAGATCGAATCTTCATCACGTCCACGATCAAAAACTAACCCCAATATACCCGATATACCCGACGGAGACAGCATGACCATCCCAACCTTCGAGCCCATCATTCTCCGCCCGGGCACCTTCACCGTCGAACTCATCGTCGACGCCCGCGAAGTAGTCAGCGCCAAAAACCGCGACGGAATCCCCAATCAACTAACCGACATGGGAGTTCCCCATTCCGTTCGAGCCCTCCCACTCGGAGATTTCCTCTGGGTAGCCCGAGTCCACCCCGACCAAGCGCGCTGGCTCGATCTTGGGACATCGCAACTCATCATGCTCGACTACATCATGGAGCGCAAACGACTGGACGACCTCATAAGTTCACTCAAAGACGGGCGCTACGAAGAGCAGAAATTCCGCCTCAAGAAATCCGGCATCACCAACGTCAAATACCTCATCGAACACAAGCAAGTCGACCCCGACGTCATGGAGCAATGGGATACCTCCATCAACACCGCTATTGCCAGAATGACGATCCAAGACCACATCAACGTGAAACAAACCCTAGACCTCGGCGAAAGTCTCCGCTACCTCCAGCGCATGACGCATCTCCTCAAGAAACAATACGAAGAAAAGCCCCTCCACGTGATCCCGACCCGCGTACTCACTTCTAAAAATTACCTCCCCTTAATGGCTCATCTACGAGCTACTCACCCCTCAATCGAATACTCCATCGAATTCGACGCTTTCGACGCTTTATCCGACAAATCGCAAAACCTAACCCTCAAAGATATCTTCCTCAAGATGCTCATGCGCACCAAGGGGATCTCGGCCCCTAAAGCTATCGAGATACAAAAGCGATGGCCTACACCTATTGCTTTCCTTACCGCCTATGCAAATATCGACATAAATACAGGGGAGGATTACGAACGAGACGACGCAGCCGAAGAAAACATCGCTTCACATGCACAAAAGAGAAAAGGAAAGGGAAAGGGACCAGCCATCATCCTACAAACCCCAGAAGAGATTTCCCAAAAGAGGAAAAGAGAAATGGTATCGAGGGAGTTGGGGATGCTGGTGATGGGAAGTAAGAAGGTACAAGGGGTGTTGAGTGGGAAGATTGCGGAGGTGTGGGGGGGTGTGGGTGCTGGTTAAGTTATAGGGGAGTGGAGCTTTGGTATTGTGTATGTAGTTAGTATATTACAGTACAGTAATATGAGAGGAGTATGAGTAAAGTACAAAAGGAATAAACTCAAGAATCTCATACAGTATTTTTGTTACATCCATCCCTTTGGCAGTCTTATTGTCTTATTGTCTTAATTAAAGATCCATGATCAATAATCAAAAATCAAAGATCAATAATCAATGATTCTGAATACCTACCTAGTAGGTCTTTTTTTTTCTTTTACACACCAATACTCAGTAAAATGATCCTTGCTTCTCGCTTCTCACTTCTTGCTTCTCGCTTCTTGTGTTTTGCTTGTTTGTTTAATATAATATAATTGAGTATACATACACACACGCAGGTAGCTAACTACCTAGGTATATATGAAACTGCATAACTTTACCCAGACTACATCATTCTCATACTACACCATCACACCCTATCCTATCACACCCTACCCTCGCCTTCTCTATTCTCTATTCCCTCTATTTTTATTCCTTATCCTCCTTTATTTTATATCCTAAATCCCATCTCCATCTCCATCTCCATCCCCAAGCTAATATCCTCCCCAATACCCATCCCCATCCCTATCCCTATCTCCAACCTAACATCCATTCCAATCCCATGCTCCCCTCCCCACCACCCCCTACCCTAATCTCCCATCTCCTCAATCTACAATCTTCAATCCCCAATCTTCAATCCCCTCCCCCAACCTCAAACCCTTACCCCCCTCCTCCTACCACCATTCCTATCCCCCCTATCTCCTCTATTCGATTTTTATACCCTTATCATTATCCCCCCTATTTCACATCTCAACCCCTGTTTCACATCCCCATCTCGAACCTAGCATCCATTCCAATTCCTTTTTCCAATTCGTTTTCCAATTGTTCTTTCCAATTCCAAATTCTCCCCTTCCCTCTATCCCTACCCCATCACCACCTCATCGCATCGCATCGCACAAAACCAATTCAAACCCATTTCAAAAATTCACTATTTCAAAGCCATCGCAAAATCTCAAATCACTCTGAATTCTGTAGCATTGATATTCAAGCGAGATCACTTAAATCATAATTGCCAGTCATTAGAGGGTGTCGGGGCCCTCGTCTACTGGATAATAGTATAAACTTCATCAGAGATTAGGAATCGCCAATATTACCAGATTCGACTGTGTATCTACCCACCCATTTACGTATTAATCCAGAACTTCTCACAATATATGCATATAAAATTGATTATTATCTTTCATGGCTTTTCATTGTATGTGATATCGTCAACTAGGTATCTAACTTGCTGCTTGCGCTACTATGCAATGCTATGCTAATCAAGATCTTCAGCCAATATCGAAGATCTTGTATCATTCCTATCCATCCATTTATTCATCTTAAACGGGTCCATCTTTGACGCCAAAGGAAAATCCCATTTCGGTTAATCATAGATATACCAAGTCATCTCTTTTTGATAATTAAGAGCCAAATCCCTCAAAGAAACTGCGCTCTCAGCCGCGAAAGTTCCCTCTCTCTTCTTAACCCCCAGTCATTTGAAGAGCTTATTAACACATCTTATACTCGGCACCACCTGTAGCCTGTCTCAATGGGTCTGAAGTCTCCAACTTGTACTGAATCTTAACATCCAAATCTCTTGGGTTCTTCTCGTTTGGCTTATTATCAAGTTGACCAACAATTTGCTCTCCTTGCTCAACAGTCAAAACTTCTCTTAAATAGAATACAGTTTGTTTCCAGTGAGTGTACTTGGTGTGAGGACCGGTGCTGAATCTAATAGGTTTGTGGCAGGCAGTGAAATCGATATCGAACCAGGCGATGAGAGCGTGGATGAAATCGTTACGACGGACATCGAGTTTGAAAGGGGAGGAGAAAGCGAGATCTTCCTTGGTACATGTGTAAAGGTCAAGGGTAAGTACTGGAGTAGGGTCTGTTACAACCGCCTTGATCTCGACGGTGTCGACGAGAGGTTCGGTAAGAGCGGTGGCTTTGAGAGGAGAGTAGTCAAATCCGTAAACGTTGTCCCAGACTTTTTAAAGGTTAGCCTCCGCATTTGAATGAGTTTGCGGACGATGTGGGGAACCCTGAAAAACTTACATCCAATCTTCTCATCTTTATATTCGCCATCCTCAATACCAGCCATAAAGATGGTGGCCTTATCTGGGAAGATCAGACCGTTTGGTACAAGGTACTTATCTCTAGCATAGAGAACAGTGTCCAACATGGATTCGTAGAGCAAGAAGTATCCCATCCATTCCGAGATAATAATATCGACCTTTGGGAATGGGATTTCAACCTCCTCCATCTTTCCTTGAAGTAATGTAATCTTATCGGACATTCCGTTGACTTCGACAATCTCACGGGCTTTTTCGATAATGGTAGACATATCGACTCCGATAACGTGTTTGGCGCCGGCCTTGACAGCGAACCTTTGATCATATCAGTTCCATGGGGTTTTAAATACTTGGAGAAAACATACATGCTGAGAATGGCGGTACCGCATCCTACATCGAGGACAATCTTGTCTTTGAAAAGATGCTTGTTTTGCACAATAGCATTCATGTATGATCGAGTACGGACTTCATCTTTCTGTTCTGATTGTTAGCAAGGCGGGGTAAAGAAGGTTTTGGGATGAAGCAGTTTTTTCTGCTAGATTATTACATACCAACATCTCTTCATGGATACCTTCATATATTGATTAGCGTTTTCCTTGATATATCATTGAATCGTTTTGCATACCATGATGGTTGTAACTATTCGCAGATTAATATAAAAACAGTCCTTATCGTCAAAAGCTCAAGCAAGGCTATGAACTTACCTGTTGAAGTAATGAGCCTCGGAATGCTCCAATCCATTCATTGGGTCGCCAGCCATGATTATGTATTGTAGTTTGAAGTTATACAAGAGATGGGAAAGATGGGAAAGATGAAAAAGAAAGAAAAAATGTAATATGGTGGCAAAGAAGAGAGAAAAGTGTACAATGTTGTTATTGATGTATTTGGGTGAGAGATTTCGGTATCGATAAAATGTAAAATGTCAAATTGTCTCAAGAAGTCAGGGATTTTTTTCTCACAAGCGGCCGATATTCTGCCACCGCCTGCCTTTTAGAGGGTAAATAAATGCACGGAGATTATTTACTGAGTTATAAGGTGGAACAGCATCAAGTAGCAAAGAGTTATGGATGCTAAACTATGAATCAGACAAGGTCAATAGATGGACTTGGTGTTCATCAAAGTTTGGATTTCAAGAGCCAGACATATTGACATATTCAAACATACACATACATTCATATATTCCATTTTACTTGAATATACAGTATAGCATAATGTACTCCATACATACTGTTACATAGGGTTACAATTAACTGATAGGAGGGACCGGACAAGTCGGAGCTTTAAAACCTCGATACAACCAATTTTAGACTTTTTTCCTCTCACTCAGTATACTTAATTCACCAAAGCTTCTCTTATCAACCTTTAATTGAATCATATATTACTGAAGCTATTCACAATCTTGGTTCTTTATCCTTCGCAATTTTCTATATATTTTTCAAGTAAATAATTTCATTGTTATGAAGAATATCAATTATTCGCCATCATTATCTGAACCTTCAAAGAAAAAGTTTCCAACCAATTTTGAAAAGTAGTTAAATCATAAAGGGCTTAGCGTATCCGTACCCCACCAACGAAAATTGCAAAAAGGCGAGTTCTTGAAGTAAACCACTGCGCCAAAACAACATAAACATTCCCATCAACTCTTTTTTTTCAACTCCCCGACTTTCAAAATACCCCAACTCAAGTCAACTCAACTTAATCACCCATCAAACCAAATCTTTCAACCAATCCTTTTCATCTCACAATTGCTACTATCACGTGTAGTAGTAATAGACTTTGACCCATTTGCTTTGCGACAACGAGCTGGTTAATTAATTCGATATATCTTACTAGGAAGAAGGAATTTCGCGGGGTAGAGGGGTAGATTTACAGTTGTCTAGAACAAATTTCAATTCATCAATTCATCAACTTGCATCACAATGCCGCCTCCACGTCCAAAAGTACCGCCACCGCGGCCCAATCCCTTGAGGAATATGAAGCCGATTAAAGCACCTACTGCACTCTCTCGAAAAGCTGCCATGGGTGCCGCAAGAGGTAGAGCAAGACCCGCCTGTCCAAATCCTCAATGTAATAAACCTCAAATCGAAGATGGTGTATGTCATAACTGTGGTACTGTGGTTGATGATTCAAACATTGTCTCGGAAATTCAATTTGGAGAAAGTAGCAGTGGTGCTGCAGTTGTTCAAGGAAGTCATGTTGGTGCAGATCAAGGTGGTGCACAAACTTTGGGACCGGCCTTTAGAAGAGCTGGTGGTGGTGAAAGTAATAAGGAGAATACTCTTCGCGAGGGTCAGTGCTGACGAGACCCCCCCTATTCCCTTCGCTCAAAGCTAACAGTCCACAGGAAAACGTATCATGCAAGCTTTAGCAAATCAACTTGCGATCTCGGACAATGTCGTCGGTGTCGGTCATCAAATCTTTAAACTTGCATCAATGAACAATTTTATTCAAGGTCGAAGAACGGATCTTGTTGCTGCTGTTTGCTTGTACAGTGCGTGTAGAAAGGAGACACCATGCAGAGTCATGCTTATTGATTTTGCCGATAAATCGCAGGTATGGGTTTCTTCATGCTACATCATACCGTCTTTTACTGACATGAACAGGTCAATGTTTTCGCACTCGGTCGATATTTCAAATCCCTTCACAAACAAATTTCTTTGGCTACAGATGGCATTTTACCCGTTCTTCCCGAAGATTTGATCTGGAAATTCGCTTCTAAGCTCGAATTTTACGAACAAACCGAAAAGGTCGCCGACGATGCAGTTCGTATGGTTCGAAGAATGAGTTTGGATTGGATGGTCATGGGAAGAAGACCTTCTGGTGTTTGTGGTGCTTGTCTAATTTTAGCGGCACGAATGAATAACTTTCGTCGAACCGTCACCGAAGTCGTTTATGTCGTTAAAGTCACAACAGCAACTATTCAAAAGCGTTTGGAGGAATTCAAGAGAACGCCAAGTAGTGCTCTCACGGTTGAAGAGTTTCTCAACAACGAGTTCTTAGAATCCGCTCACGATCCTCCTTCCTTCTACAAAAAGTCCGAAGCGTACCTCAAAGAAATGGCCGACAAGAATAAAAAACGTAAGCGCAAGGGTAAGGTTGGAGCAAATGAGAATGATGACGAAGAAAGTAATTCGGCCGAGGAGAATGAAGGAAGCAACAAGAGACAAAAGTCTACATCTGGAGCTCCAGTACCACCAGCCGAAGTTCGACGCGATGCTGATGGATTTGCTATACCCGCCATTCCTTCTCCCAAGGACCAAAATATCGATCCTCGACTTTTGGACGATGCCATCGAAGATGAATCGGGCACATCGTTTAACAGACTTGTCGCTGAATTTGGTGACGTTGTACCCGCTGACGCAGACGCGGCCAACGAGCTCATTGACGAAATTACCGATGAAATCGCAGAAGCCGCCGGTGCTCCCAAGAAAGGACCCGGTCGCCCACGAAACGATGAACCCCCTCCAGAGATGCCCGCGGAATGGCTCGCAATAGAAGATGAACTAGAACAACAAATTACCGAAATGGTTTCCGACCCACATACTCAAGAGCATGCCGTCAGCTTCGCCCGAGCTCAAAAGAAAGCACACTACCACCTTCTCCTCGCGGAAAGTCTGCACCCCCAAAAGTATGTTAGCATGGATACTCTTATCGGCGAGGACGAATTTGCCGAAGACGAAGAGGTCATGAATTGCGTATTACCCGATGCTGAAGTCGCTAAGAAGGAACAAATTTGGCTCAATGCAAACAAAGATTGGCTTCGCAAACAACAACAAAAGGATTTCGAAAAGAGAAAGGCAGCGATGGGTCCACCAAAAGCCACCAGACAGAGAAAGAAGAAACCAAGGATCGGAGAAGGTCAAACTAGTGCAGCGAGTACACCAGCAGAGGCGGCGGTCAATGCCATGAAGGAGAGAAGTTGGAGTAAAAAAATTAATTATGAAGCTATCCGAGATATCTTCAAGACCGTGGGAACTAGATCCGGCCCGGGTAGTTTGGCGACGAGTAAAGTTACTAGTAGATCTGGATCTACGGCTCCTGGTTCGGTTGCCGGTAGTGTTGTTGATGGTGGTGGTGGTGAGGAAATGGTAGATGGGGTTGATGATGAAGATTTCAGACAGCCAAGTGAGGCACCCGCGGGTGGTGATGGTGATGGGGATGAGGATGCTTATGATGAGGAGAATTATGATGAGGATGAGGGGATGGGGATGGGTGATATCGATGATGCGGATTTGTATAGTTGAGTGTCGTTGGTGACATCGACTTTCAAACTCAGTGGAGGTATTGAGGGAGTGAGAGAGTGAGAGAGTGAGAGGTCAAAATTTTGTGAATAGGAGCATGATAAAAGGAGTATAGTGCTCAATTTTTGGCACGGGTAAACATGCATAGATGGATGGATGGAGTATCTGGGTGGTTGGTCGGCCACACTGCATACAGTGCATATCACAGGCGTGCTTGAACGGTTGCATATCAGCGATGGATGGGATAGATACCTAGGTATAGGATAGTTATTGTGTAGAGATACCGATACTGGTACCTACTAGTATGATTATTTACAATAATTCCAAGGAACTAATAACCTACTAGAGTAATTGTAAGATTATAAATAATAAACAATCAATATCAGTATTAGCTAGGTAGGTATGTAAGTAAGTTATTTCTTTCTAATTCGATTGGAGGAGGAGGTGCAAGGTGAGTCGGTGGTAAGATACCTCAGAATGCTTAGTAAGAAACAGACCATTTCCCATGCTCAAAATTATGCCGCCTAAAGCAAAAGCGGTGAATCTTTAAATAGATATATTCAGCCCCTCACTTTTATGTCCAACGCATAGAAACTCATAGACAAATCCAACGGGTACGTCAATACTCATAAGGTAGTAATCAATCAGAAGAGGATAATCAACAGCTTATTTCAAGCTGGATAATTATCTTGCGATATTACAATCTTCATATACACTCTCTCTTTCCCCAAGTCTTTCCCTCTTCAATAGCTCTTTGTTTTCCCTCCTCAAATCCGCAAGCATGGATTCTCGAATTCTCGAAGCTTCAAACAAACATCCCAAACCCGCACATCGCGTTTTCCAATATGGAACTGCGGGATTTCGTATGAAGGCCACCCTTCTCGATTCAGTCGTCTTCCGCGTTGGTCTTGTCGCGGCTCTTCGCTCTCGCAAACTCGGTGGTCAAACCATCGGCGTTATGATTACCGCGTCGCACAACCCGCCTGAGGATAATGGTGTCAAGTTGGTGGATCCGATGGGAGAGATGTTGGAGAATAGTTGGGAGGCTTATAGTACACAGTTGGCCAATGCGAAGAGTGAGGATGTAGTGCAAGTTTATCGCAAGTTGGAGAAGGATTTAAAAATCAACCCGGAGACTCCTGCGAGAGTTATCTATGCGAGAGATACTAGACCTTCGGGCCCGAGATTGGTTGCAGCTCTTGTCGATGCTCTCGAGGCTACAGGAACAGATTATACCGACTTCAAATTGCTTACCACGCCTCAATTGCATTATTTGACGAGATGCACGAATACGGAGGGTACACCACAAGCTTATGGAGATGTTAGTGAAGTCGGATACTATGAGAAGTTGGCAAAGGCTTTCGTGAGGGCTATGAAAGGCAAAAAGACTTTTGGATCAGTCACTGTTGATTGTGCCAATGGTGTCGGAGGTCCCAAATTGCATGAGTTGATCAAGTATCTACCAAAGGGTATCCTCAATATCAAGGTCATCAATGATGACGTTATCAGACCAGAGAGATTGAACCATGATGTCAGTCATTTATATACCGTTTGATTTCATGATTGCTAATGTATTCTTATTTTCAGTGCGGTGCCGATTTCGTCAAGACCAAACAACGAGCCCCTCCTTCATCGAGAGCTGGAACCAATGATCGATGCTGCTCATTAGATGGAGATGCCGATAGAATCATCTATTACTTCAATGATCCTGATCTTGGATTCCGTCTATTGGATGGTGATAGAATTGCCACACTTGCAGCTTCATTCATTACCGATCTTGCGAAAGACGCTGGACTCGCAGATGAATTGAGAATTGGTGTCGTACAAACTGCATACGCCAACGGTGCTAGTACCAAGTATGTCGAGAAAACATTGAAGCTTCCTGTTGTTTGCACTCCTACTGGTGTGAAATGGTTACATCACGCAGCAACCAAGTTCGATGTCGGTGTTTATTTCGAAGCAAATGGTCACGGAACTGTAGTCTTCTCTCAACAAGCCTTAAAGGCAGTTACTAGCACGGAACCAGAATCCCCTGCTCAAGCTAGCGCATTGGAAGCTCTTCGTGCTCTCACTGATCTCATTAATCAAACAGTCGGAGATGCGCTTTCTGATATGTTGCTCGTTGAAACAATTCTCGCTCATAAGTCTTGGACACCAAAAGAATGGGACCAAACCTACGTTGATTTACCCAATCGTCTCGTCAGAGTTGAAGTCAACGACCGAAACGTATTCAAGACCACTGACGCCGAGAGAAAACTTCTAGAGCCACAAGGTACACAAACACAAATTGATGCACTTGTTGCCAAGTTCAAGGATGGTAGAAGTTTTGCCAGAGCTAGTGGGACGGAAGATGCTTTGAGGGTATATGCTGAAGCCGCTACGAGAAGTGAAGCGGATGATCTTGCTACCAAGGTTGCATCCTTGTGTAAGATTGAGGGAAGCATTAAAGGTTAGGTTAGGTTAGGTTAGGTTGGGGGATAATCACAAGGGGCGAGTGGATGGATACGAAATCACGAATATGCTGGGCATACGAATACCAAAAATGGAGTTGAGAGATGACGATGATGATGATGATTCATGGGAAATACCCATGATTGATGAAACACACGATAGCATAGCATTATTGCAACTGGATTTTATGATAGCCAACAGTTATTTATTTTGATATTATTTTACTTTGCTATTGTTGCCTCTTTTTCTTTTTCTTTTTCTTTTTCTTTTTCAGTTCTATTTCCAATTCCATTTTAATTTCCCTTTTCTCTTTCATTTTCCATCTTTACCTATGTTTACGTTTGCGGAGGAGGGTTGATATTTACTTAGGTAGCTAGCTATCCCCGGTACAGGAACTATGTGGGGTAATATCATCTCTATCTTACTTTCATGATTCATCTAACCCTTTCCGGTTCTGAATGAGAAGATCAATGATGTCAAGACTGGTCCAAGATACCTGTGCCCACAAACGCATCATAATCATAATCATAACCTACCTAGTGAGTAAGTCGTTTGCGTTTGTTACTTGGTAGTGGTTGTAGAATAGACAGATAGATTATATCATTGATTTATGGAGTTAGATATGTAGGTTAGTTATTACCCCTCTTCCTTCTTCCTCTTTCCTCTTTCCCTCTTCCTATTCTTCCTCCTCCTTTATTTTACCATATACCATTTACCATTATTATTACCATATACCAACCTTTCCATCCATCTCCTTCCTCATCTTCCTGTCAGAAATCAAAAATCAAAAATTAAACATCTTGAGCTTCGATTGGAGTTAAGTTGATTTTAATTGAATCAAATTAATGCGTTCCTCACTCCTCCATTCTCTACCAAAATCTACTTCTATATCTATATCGACTCGCAAGATTACGAGTAAGGTTACGAGTAAGGTTTCGATACCATCGGTCCCAAAATTTACACGTGCGTTTTCGTGTACAACCAAGAATCAAATTACAAAAATTGTGAAAATGTCAACAGCAGGGTCATCAGGATCAACAGGAGGATTAGGCTTAGGAGAATTCCCTATGCCGCCGCAGCAGAAAGCGGGAGGGATGGGGGCGGTGGATTCTATTGCAGGGGGTGGAAATAGATCGTTTGCTAGTTCGACTGCTGATGGAAGTGAGATTGGAAGCGGAAATAGAAAAGCAAATGCGGATCCCGGTTTCAAGGAGTTCGGTATTGAAAATACTAATATTCATACGGCGGCGGGGGTGAAATTGAGTGATAGGCAGAAGGTTCTTGTGGGTAGTGTTTTAGATGTATGTTTATTTCTTTTTACTTTCCTTCTTTCCTTCTTTCCTTCTTTCCTTCTTTCTTTCCCTACCTCTCCCCTCTCCCCTCAAAACAAACCTCAACTAACACCCCCTGCTCCCCCCACCTCAGCTCTTCGCCGGCCGCCCCTCCCTCCCCAAACTCTCCCTCTGGACCGACACCGCCACCTTCTCGGACCAAATCACCAAAGCCGAAGGACGCAAACAATTCGCCGCTCAATGGTACGGTTTACAAGCTGCTTTTAGTAGTATCGAACGTATTAGTCATGAGGTGGTTAGTGCGGGGAATCCGATCGAGTTGGATTTGTGTACTAAGTATACGGTGAAGGGGGTGGGGTTGCAGCAGAGGATTGATAGTCGGGTTAGTATTTGGGTGGAGGGGAAGATTGTGGGGGTGAGGGATAGTTGGGGGGGTGAGGTTCCGGGGGAGGGGGCTTTTGTTAAGGTGGGTTTTTGTGTTTTTTTCTTTTGGTTTTTTTTGGGTTTTTTCTGGAGTTGGAGCTTGAGTTTGAGTTCTGGGTTTGGGGAGAGATCTGAGATGTGAAACATGAAATACATTTTGCTAATTCCAAAAATGTCAACTTATAGGCTCTACGCAAGCTTAACAGTGTGGTAGTACCAGCTTTCGTCGGCGTTCCCAAGAACAATCAGGAAGATGCCAAGAAGGGTAATCAATAAATTGGACGTGTGTTGTACTGTGGTAATGCAATGGGAATAGGGATAGGGATATGGAGGGGAAAGGGATAGGGATGCGGACTTGCTTGTTTGCTTTGCGGATACGAATATTGTATCATTACTATTAGAGTATCGGTATTTATTGAAAAAAAAAACTGGTTGGTTGGTTTATGGATTTTATGATGGTGATGGTGATGGTGATGGTGATGGGGAATATATTTGTGATGTTTGTGATGTGACCTATTTCATACCTATTTCATAGGAAGTTCTTCCGATACTCGAGTACCTACGAGTAATGCATATCCATCCCATGGCTCAATAGACTTCCAAAAATATACAATATCATACTATATCAAAAGTCATTGAATGCTTATTTGCTCATTGAGAGATTAATCGATTGATCAGTTTGTAGGATTTTGTGTTGATTACTTGGTAGTAGAGTAGGAATAAAATTAGAGTGTTGATTGTGCGAGATAGTACTCGTAGTATCAGAAAGTATCAGAAAGATGTGGGAATAGTTATAAGTTATAAGTTAGAAGTTAGAAGTTAGAAGTAATGAGTAATGAGTAATGAGTAATGAGTAATGAGTAATGAGTAATGAGTAATGAAAAATATAATTGTAATACGAGTATAATCGAGATTAAACTGGTGTATAATAAATGGATTGCTTGCACTTGAGTAGATATATTTTAGGATAAGAGAGTGAGTGGTATTATGAGATGTTATATTGAGATTCATGGATTGGCTTTTGTGGCCCCCTTTTCAAGAGAGTCGGGGGGGGGGGGGGGCTTGTAGTAATAGTTACTTACAATTACTTGCCAATCTTCATCCTGATTCCCATCAAAAAAATGTGATTTGAAAGAATCAAAGTGGTCTTAACACCTTGTAGCTTTTACCAATATCTTCCTAACAACGATATTTCCCTCAAATCAATATCATTTGTCCCTTTAAACAAAGGACCTCATCTCGAGCTCTTCTTCCCCTTCGCCCGCATTTGTATGAACCAACAACAAATAAAGAGCTCCCATTTCCCTTTCCGGCATCACGCATAAAAACTCAAGGAAACCCATCCATAAAGAGCCCCCACCATAAAGTACACACATTCCTTGTCCCCAATCTCGAATCCATGCATCAACATTCAATAAATGCCCATTGAACTATACATTTTGCACATCTCCGCATCATCAGCACAATCATCATAACAAGCGCCATACTACTAATCATCGGAATCCTAGCCAGCAACAGCGACAGCACCATGGAACCCAATCCACGAACCCCCAAACCCCCCGAGAAGCGCAAGACGCGCGCATGGGATCCCAGCCCCGCGGTAAACTTAGATAGCTTACCTGAAGCAGCCCAAATGGCTGTAAATCAAGGCCGACCAAAACGAGTCAAAAGATTTGAAGGCGATTCACCGAATTTCGTATTGGATTATTCTCGCAGTCGGAATATCGCGCGCAAGCACAAGGGGAGAGGCAGACCGTTTGGGGATGATGAGAAGACTGCGAGGAGGGGGTTGCGTCCTTTGGTTAGGAAACCGGTGCCGCTTTCGGTGGTGCCGGAAGAGAAGCAAACTTCTGGAAGGCCAGAGAAAATTAGTCCTAGGAAAGTTCCTCCTCCACCTTCGCCTCCTCGTGTTCCTCCTTCTCCATCTCCGTCTCCACGTGTTTCTCCATCTGCGTCTCCGTCTCCGTCTCCGTCTCCACCGGGACCTCCGGGACCCCCAGGGGGACGCATCGGGAGGGGGATGGCGGTGGTATCGATGGCACCCGTAACTTCAGCAGCAGTTTCGTCCGTTGCAGCTTCGGGTACATCAGTGACGACGATACCTTCTCCGACATCTCGCATCAAACCTCTCCCTAATATAGCTTGGGATGTAGAGTTAGGCCAGGGGAGATCTGGGTGGGCCAAATCACTAGCATTTACGCGACTCGGCGATGCAGACGTTAATGCCGACGAAGTGATGCCCATGCTTGAAAATTTTGCCGTTGGTGCGTATGCGGAAAATTTCCGAACGAATTTCTTGGGAAACAATGCCGTTGACAATTTACACGATGGAAGGACAGGCGGTGTGACATGGTTCTTGCGCAACTTGGAAAATAGTCACAGCAATAAAATGATATACGATTATAGGCCCCCTGATCCAGGATACATACAGAGAATCAGGGCTGCAAGAAATACTAGGAAGGGAAGAGAGAGATTCATTCAGAGAGCTCGCGAAATTGGGGAAAAGTATGAATGGATAATGCCTGGAACGCTAGAAAATGGAAGAATGGCAAATGTTCGATGGGCAGCGCCTGGAATGAAAAGAGATAAAACTAAGGCTGCAATAGACAGAGCTGCATCTTTAGGTGGGCGTGTGGATCGCATAATGGGGGATTACACCTATCTTCTTACTGGAAGTAGACCACTATGGACTGAAAACGATTTGAGAGCGTACATTCGCCAGAGACTTCAGAGGAACGAATCAATCCTTCTCCCCCCCGCATCTTCTATCACGCGACCTTCAACGACTGTATCCCTTCCTACTAGCTCATCAACAACAGCAGGGGTACCTCCACTTAAGACTACAAAATTGACATTTGGTGCAGCAGGCACAGCAGGCACAGCTGTATCCAGGAGTGTATTTTTCGACTCTAGGCCTACAACACCTCTATATTCGGGTGGGATGTTTGGATCTTCCGGATTTATGTCTCCATTACCTGGTGAACAGTCTGATACCGTTTCAGAGTACGCGAAAAATGTCGTGAGATCGATAACCTCACTATCATCGACCGATACAGAAGGTAAAACTCAAACTCAAACTACAAAGCCCCTAAATCCCTTCTCGGCCACAGTGAAAACTCCAGTTAAAGCCACATTCGACGTGGGTGGTCGACAGCTCAGATCATCAAGGCCAAGTTTCAGCTCGACTGATCCCCTTTCTCCAACGCTTCCGCTAGCGGGTAGGAGAGAAGACGTGATAACTCCTATGGTCAAGGACAGTATCGTTCATCCGGTTAAAAGACCCAGTCAACGACTATCAAGTTCCAAGGCGGTAACGAGTAAAGCTACAACTGCAGCTACCACTTCTTCTATTGGTGCTACGGGGAATCGTAAAGGAAGGGAAACCCAAACCACCGTACCTCCTCCTCCTCCCATACTACATAATATAGCCTTCCATTATATTTCAGATTTACATCTTGAGCAGACAAGTTACGACAACTTTGACTTTAATCCAACAGCTTCTTATCTCATTCTCGCAGGTGACATAGGATACGCCCATCGTACCCACCAGGACCGATACCGCCAATTCTTAGCTAGAATGTGCGCTAAGCCACAACTGAGACGCGTCTTTTTGGTGGCTGGAAATAGGGACTTTTGGCCAAAGGCCACAAATACAATGCCAGAGGCACTGGGAATTCTCAGAGGATTCGCGAGGCATCGGGATATGAAAGGAAAATTGACATTCATGGAGGACGACCGCTTTGAAATTGATGAGAAAGGGGGTAAGATTGTGATATTGGGTTGTACGCTGTGGACAGAAGTACCAGGACGTGGGGGTGGTGAGCCGTCTGATCAAAACAACCGACAGAGAACTGCCAGACATCGTGCTTCTTGTGACTTCATAAGACGAGAAACGGCAAAGATTAGAGAGGATCCCAAAGAGGTTGCAACGCGTATATTGATCATAACGCATATGCCACCTTCCAAGAGCGGTACTTCCCAGCCCGAGTTTACAACCAAGGAAGCCCGAGATTTTTCACAAGGGGCCCATCATGGGAGTGATGTCATAAATGGTGTGAAGGCATATGATTATGATCATTCTTCGGTCGAAACTACAATGCCGCTGTTAGACGTCAGAGACGTTTGGATTTGGGGCCATACGCATTGGAATGAACCGAAAGCGGGGAAAATAAGACATGGTGGGATGAGATTCGACTGTAATCAGAGGGGAAATGCTCACGGGGGGGCATATAATCCAAGGCCGGAAGGATCTTTTCAACCCGAGAAAGTTATTTTAGTATGATTTTAAATAGAACTTTGCATGTTCGCTCGAGACATTGGAGCTTTCAAAAGTTGGTAGTAAGTACCTTAGGTATATATTGTTTGACAAAATTATCATCATTTGTCTTGCCAGCCTATTCGTGTGTGCACCGCAATCATGACAGAGAAGTGCTTATCATCTCGTGGCGGCAAATTGGTGAGAGAATCATACTCACTTGTAGTATAATCTTTCATATTGTTCTTCGTGGGGTGTTTAACAAGTGGAATGGTATATAAGTTGACTCTAATTAGAAAATTCTCGTATCCCAATTTACGCATATGGTATTGATGTTGCACAAAACTCTATCAAAACAAGGACTTCCTAGTCTTCAACAAAGCTCGTGTCCTCAGTAGCTGATTGCTTTCGAAATTATACTTATGATATGTCGATGCCTGTTCTCGAATAATCGGTGTATCATACGCAAATCCCTGTAGTTGAAAAGAAAACATGGAAAGCTTGTCTCATCTAAGGCGGTAAATTTTGCCATGGCTTAGATAACATTCAGGCATTTATTCTTAATTTAGCATAATTTACTTTGCTACACTGCAAATGGGGTCACCATGCACCGGTGGTGTGGTGTGTTGTCGATGGTGGTATTGGTGGTATTGGTGATGGCGGTGCACAATATTGCATTTAGACATGCTTGTTTGATGGATGTGTGGTACACGACAGGATGCTTTCACGATCTATTGAATAGCTGCTTGTCGTATCAGTAGTGTTCAGTAATAAAGCAAAGAGAAAGATGGATGGAAGTTTCGAAGTTTCGAAGTTTCGAAGTTTGGTCTTGGTCTTGGTCAACACAAATAAGGTAGGTGTAGAAGAGAATGCGAGGAGGCTGGGTAGGACAGCATCGGAGTATTTCGAGATTTCTCCGAGTTACGCTAAGAAATCGGATAATTTGGCAGAATCACTCGTGTTTACCTTGAAATATATCGCACGATTCACCGTCAGCTTTCTTGTGCACCTTGTTATATTTGCACTGGATCCCTTACTACACCAGAACAGTATGACATGTGAAATGTTCATCTGGGGAAGAGGGATATCGTATCCCAATCCTACGAAAGGTTCTCTCGTAGGATTCTTATTGAACATCTAAATGATGCCGAGAGTTCTCGGCTTGTGTTCCGGTAATACGAACGGGCGTAGTAATACCGGTTTCAATCCTTTTTCGGTGGAATTCAAGAGATGAAAATCATGCAATCAATCCGATTTGTCAAGAAACGTTTTTATGGGATGGTTTTTGGCCCCCTCAAAGCTCGGCACTCTTAATGAGCCATTTCATTACATTGAGAAACGTTCAATTCGGAAGCGTCCCAGGAAGATCATTGAGAATCCATCAAAGTGCAGCTCATTCATGCATAAATTCGAAGGCCTATACACTTTCAGCTCGGGAGCTGCGGTAGCAAGGATGAATATGTGAAGATGCCAATGAGGAGGCGGCTCGTCTACCACATTTCGACACCGTTCCTGACATCAGCTGTGCCAAGAATGTGCTAGCCAGTCTACTGGTATACCATGCGCCAATGAATCAGTTCGAATGTTTCGTACGACTTCAGCGTCGTGATCGTATAAGCCAAAGCGTTGAAGCCACATGGCTGTCAGGTTTGTGAAAGATGTTCATTTCGAGAACAGTTTCTTGTGGTGTATTGGCAATCTGCGTGTTGAAAGCATCGTTATGTAGAGCTTGTCCAAAAATATCACATTTGGAAGAAACATTGCATGAAAGCTTTCATAGGTCATGTAGTCGCCACTATGTGCGTTGACCGTATCGACGTTGCATTTGATTCAACTCTCCTCAATGACATGCCTCGATCTTCCCCGTCTACCAAGGTTATTACATATAGTTCTCACCCATATACGAAGCAGAGATGACGAGGTGCATTGATCAAGGCACAGAGACGGCGTCCCGAGGTTATTTTGTTTACATACATGAGATGATTGGCTTTGCTCCATGTTTGCTTCACGAGCATTACACCTGCTTAGCCATCTCTTGTGAACAAAAAAGTGTATATTAAGCTCGTAGCCATCTTGCCTGGTTCATCCTCGTCCGTTTTGTTCTTAATCTCAGGACAACTCAACCAGTATCTACAATTTACAATCTCTGAAAGTCAAAATATTTACACTCCTTGAAGCTCAACATGGCACCAAACCTCATCAAGAGGCTCGGAGCTTTATCTTTCTTACTCGGCTCTGTCATAGCTTCCCCGATATCCAAACCTGAGAACTTGGAAGCTCGAGCCAGCACATATGCTATCACAGGTGTTCAGGATGCTGGCATACAGCCTCGTCTTGAGCTTCGATCACTCGCAGCTAATCCCATTCAATGGAACTTATTTTTGTTGGCTATGATCTCATATCAAGAAGCCGATCAGAGTCAATTGTTGTCTTTCTACCAAATTGCAGGTATGTTCGAATGCCATTGCTCCAACGAAATCCATCCTCATACTAATGAACCTCAGGTATTCACGGTTATCCTTTGATCCCATGGGACGGAGCTCAGGGATCTGGAAATATTGGATACTGCACTCATGGATCCAATCTTTTTGGTCCTTGGCATAGACCATACCTTGCAGTCCATGAACAACAAATACACGACTGGGGAGTTAAAATCGCTCAACAGTTCACTGGTAGTAACTCAGAAGCCTATCACCAAGCATCTTTGACCCTCAGAATGCCATATTGGGATTGGGCAGCTAATCCTGCCAACAATGGGCCCATCCTTCCAAAAGTCTTAACTAACCCAACTGCTTCGATCACATTTCCTAACGGAAGTACGGCAACCGTGCCCAACCCATTGTATTCTTATAAATTTCATCCCTTAGTTCCAGAAGACTTTCAAGTAAGTAGTGGCTTGTCATATGGTTATGATAATTGAAATTTAATGGTACTTTAAATAGGGTTTCTCCCCATTCACCATATGGAATAATACACTCCGTTGGCCAACATCAAATACAGCCACCGCTACCAGTCAAAACAATCAAGCAGAACTGCAAATGGAAGCCAATTTGGCGAATTTCAGAACTCAGCTCATGACTTTATTTTCGAATTGGCAAGTGAGTATTTCCAAAGGGCTTGTTCCGTGAACATTTCACCACTTCATCTTTGATTGATCAATGCTAATAGTCCTCTTTAGCCCTATAATCAGTTCAGTAACAAGGGAAATCGCGGACCGGGCTTTGGCAACATTGGTAAGCACACGATACTATTGAAATTTGCATGGAACCATTGATTAATTTGTCGAAAGAATCGATTCATGACACAGTGCACGTTACCGTGGGAGGCCTCGTCTATTCTGGTCACATGTTAGTATTTTCTGCAAATGCCGTCATTTTCATGACCTCTCTTTCGTGGTGGAAGCATGAGATTCGTCGTGATACTGACTTTGATAACACGCAGGTCCATCGTCCCCGTCGCTGCTTACGACCCGATCTTCTGGTTCCATCACGCAAACATCGACAGATACCTCGCCCTTTGGCAAGCTATTTACCCCGATACCTATGTTGAGCCCGCACGACAAGGCGCAGGCACATTCACTATCCAAGCTGGTTCTACTCAAGATCAAAACTCTCGTAAGCATCTTTGTCTATAACTTTTTACAGAATATTCACATACTAACACGACGAAGCTTTGACTCCCTTCCACCGCGACACGGATGGGAATTTCTACTCTGCGGCCGACGTCCGCAACGTCGAAATCCTTGGATATTCCTATCCTGAAATAGTCAACCATCCCAGCAACTCCACTCTCCAACAAAGCATCGCCGCCCTCTATGCCGGCCCTCCAGCCACCAGGTTCAACAAACGCCAAGCAGCCACCACCTCGCTTCCTCGAGACTATGTTGTGAAAATCGATCTCCCATGGACGGCGCTCAACGGAACATACAGCGTGGGAGTCTTCCTCGGAAAAAGCAACGCCAAACCCGATGCTTGGGCCAACGATGCCGCATTCGTCGGTATGCATGCTACACTTGGCAGTCAAAGTATGACACCCAATAATGTCGTCGCTTCAAGTAACGTGCATCTTACCGATGCTCTCCTCAAAAAACACGATGAAGGTGTTCTTCCAAATCTTAATGAAGATACCATTATCAACTACTTGACAGCCAATCTAGAGTGGAAGGCTCAGAAGGCTGGTTTTGAAATTGATATTAGTACGTTGGATGGTGCGGTTGTCACTGCGGAGTCGATTGAGGTGGCGGCTCCGGATGCGCTGGGCACTTTCTCGAATTATAAGTGGGTGGGAGACTTTAAAACTTATCCGGGTGTCTTTGATAATTCGGGAAATTGATGAGTTGAGTTGGGTTCAGGAATGACTCTGGGTTTACTTTACTGTTCACTGGTCCTCTTTCATGAACTCGTATACCAGTTGCTGGCTTGCGTTTGTCAATACCGACCGGTACAGACGGTAAGGAAAAAGGCAGATGAAAGGTTCAATATGTGTGTCAAGCGGTCGGAATGAGCAAAAACTGTTAATTATCTTCTACCTTCTTGTATGTTTTAAGCGTATTAGCTCTAAGTGTATTTTTTGAAATGCATTAGTAATATATAATGGAATATTGGTCCTGGATTACCACAGTCTTTCTTGCCAGTGCCCTCAAACTAGTGAGCGATTTCGGAAAAGACACCTCTCTCTCTATCTCTCCCCAAGAAACCACAGATATATATTGAATTGTGGTTTATACCAACCGTATATCCTCGATGTATAATGAATAGTCAGAGTAGTAGCGAGAGTAGTAGTCTATCAAATAAGAGAAGGATATAATGTATACAAATATACTTGAGTAGTAACTCAGCGAATAAAGAGAGAACTAAAACTACAATCAATCAATTTGGAGAAGGGAGAACTTACAGAATTAGTTAGTTTAAGTCTAATTCAAAAACTCTATAATATAATTAAGAGAGTATTATTACTAGTAGAATATTAAGAATATATTTAGAATCTATAAGTAAAGAGCTATATACTCGAGTAGAGCGACTAAGTTAAGGAGATAAAATAGATATATAATTTGAATCAGGTCTATCATTATCTATAATCAATCTATACATAATACGAGTAGATTCTTATTCAGTCACTTTCGCCGAATCTTCACTTATTACGTGCAACCAATCGAGCTTCAAAACTAAAATAATTTATCCCAAAAGAAATGGCAAAATATCAATTCGTCAAATTTGGAGCGGCAGGGGATCGAACCCTGGGCTTCATCGAAGCTTTTTCACATGAATATCAAATTCCATGGTGATGCAAACGAGGCACTCTACCACTGAGTTACGGCCCCTTTACTAATTGATGAAAGTAGTGCCTTATGTTAGGATATATATTTCATTCATTAGAAGCGCGGACCATATAGCGGGAAAGTTCCGCACCGAAGCTTAGCCGTCGCAGGCATTTCTCATTGTTTCAATACCTGCGGGAGTATGTCAGATTCCAATTTCATCACAATAACAACACGTTGCCGCCCACACAATGATAATCAGGCAAAGATTTATCCTTTTCCTTTGCTTTGCAGTGCTTGGGCTTTTCGGCTTTGCAAATGCTAGTACTGGTGATCGACTACCTGAATTCAAACAATGTGTTGAGGTATGGATACCTCGGAGCTTCATTTGTTTACATTAAACTAATAAACATCCAGGTCTGTCAACGAGAAAATTGTGGTGATGGAGCTGGAGGTGCTACGAAGATTCGTATGTCAACCTAAATTTCCTTTCTATACGTGAAAATAGTAATGAAATGATATAGCACTCCTCCATCGACTTCTCTTCTGGACTTGCCCTGCCGAATGCGATTACACCTGCCAACACATAATCACCAACTCCCGCGTCGAATCTTCCCAACCCATTGTTCAATTCCACGGCAAATGGCCTTTCTATCGTTTTCTCGGCATGCAAGAACCGTTCTCCGTCTTCTTCTCCCTGCTCAACTTCCTGGCGCATCAAAACGGACTTGCGAAAGTAACTGCGCAAATCCCCGAAAGTTATAGTATGCGTAAATACTATGTCATGCTATCATATGCGGGAATGATCAGTTGGGTCGCCAGTATGGTGTTCCATACGAGAGATTTTGCCGTCACGGAACAAATGGATTATTTTGCAGCGGGAGGGAGTGTCTTGTATGGCATGTATTATACGCCGATTCGTATCTTTCGTATGGATCGTGGTGGGAAACTTGCGTCCTCTATATTGCGGGCTTGGACTCTTCTCTGTATACTTCTCTATATCGCACACGTCGCATATCTGAAGTGGTGGGATTGGGATTATACATATAATATGGCTGCGAATGTTGTAGTAGGAGTATTGCAAAATGCTCTGTGGAGTTGGTTCTCATTCAACAAATACAGGAAGAGTAAGAGGGCATGGACAGCATGGCCAGGATTGGTAGTTGCGTGGATTTTCATGGCGATGAGTTTGGAGTTGGTGGATTTTCCACCTTGGTGGGGATGTTTGGATGCGCATAGTTTGTGGCATTTGGGTACGGTGGCTCCAATTATGATTTTCTATAGGTACGTTCTGCAATCTTCTGGGCTACAGTGAGGGGGTGCGTATATACACGAATTGCTAACTTTGGAATAGTTTCTTACTCAAGGATGCCCAAGATGACATCGCTGGGCAGAGATTAAAGGCTTAGGTTCTACACGATGGTCAAGTATAGAAAGATGAAGGATCATGTGTATTGGGAGATGAGTTGTAATATCAAATAATGATCCTGTCTCCCATCCGTTGCTTTTACTCTATGCCTTATACCCTATCAATCAGATCGAATCCATCCTTTAACAATTCCAACAAGCTGTATCCCATGCTTTAACAGCAATGAATGAAGAGATATATGCACCACTTTCGAGCAAAAGGTATCAATATAATAAAGTCATGAACCCTTCTTACCGCAACCCAAACTTCAACCCAAGCTCCAACCCCAACCACCATAAGAGAAATCCATCAAGATCCAGCAAAACATCACTCAATCAAAACCTTACAGATACTCGATCCCCATCTTCATCACCATCCATCCATCCATCCATCCTATCTATCTATCACACATCAAACAAACCCACAATATTATTCCTGATCCTTCAGAACCCACCATATATAAATGTGATATCAGAATCCAGGGAGGGGACTGATGGATAGTACGTTTTTTGTCATAAAAACATTGGTTGTATAGGTATTTTATAGATGTATAGATATGTATAGGTAATACTTGTCTCGAACCCCCTCCACCTATTATTTAATCCACCCCCAACATCCTCTCAAACTTCAAATATCCAAACTTTTTGTTGCATATCTGCTTCAGGCCTAAAAGCCTACAAGCGCTCTACAAATACTCTATAACCCCTTCCATAACACCCCCCATAATCCCCTGAAAATAGACCGCTATCAAGTTCCCTCCAACTCCCCCTTATATCCTTTCAAAATTCAAAATCCAAAACTCAACCTTTTCTTTTGTTGCATATCTGCTTCAGGCTTTATAGCCTACAAACACCCTATAACCCCCTCATAACCCACTCCATAACTTGCCCCCTTTAAGCCCCCTCCATAACCCCCTCCCTAAACACCATTAAACTCCCCATAATCCTCTCCGTAACCCCTCCCACCACATAAACTATCCACTTACTCACCTATCCACCTCTCCACCTCTCCAACTCTCCAATTCTACCTACTTTATACCCACCCCATCCCACTCCACTCCCCATCCCACTCATCTTATTACACCATACTACACGACACACCACAAACAAGAAACCTATGACTCTCCCCCAACCCCCACTCGAGTATGATATTATACATAGGTACGAGTATACTCGAGTACTCTCATGAAACTATTCATATGGATGTAAATCCGCATGCAAATCGATGGAAAATGCTTCAGAGATAGAAGCCTCGTCAAAGTACGTGATTCTTGGACAACTCTAAGCTGCAGAATTCCAGGTTGGTGTGGCTGCTGCGGTTGCTGCGGTTGCACTTGTGAGACAAAGCACGAATTGTTAGATCGATTCCAATTTTCAATAAGGTAGTGGGATATATTGCAACTGCCAGTGTGATTACTGCAACAGGCCTTTGGTGGTCAAAAACTAATCACACTGATTTACCATATCTGGAGAATCCAGTCAAACACTCAATCCTCGAGTCTAATTCTTTTCAAGATGGGGTTACACAAATGCTTCCCCAAGAGGCATATTCCATTTTAGTCAAAAACATCGCCGGTGTCAGTAGATACGACGGAGCTCAGCTAGCTTCTAACAGTCCATGTGAAAACCGGTTTACTCATGGTCAACTTTCCCCCTGGAACAACGGCAATGCATAGATGGCCTGGACTATTTTCGATGGGCATGCGAATTGGCAGACAGCAGACTTCCTAGAGAAGAAGCTTCTGCCCTCTGTATAACATAGTTTGAGCCAAGTTAAGCTACCTCAAACGAAGAACTGATTCCCGAGGAAGTCATTCAGTATACTATTATGAAAACATTTGTAGATCTCGATGACTCCATTGTCAAGATAGTCTTGGACATCTCCCAAAGCAAACAATTATTATAAGAGAAGATGCAAAAGTTGGTTTTTATCTTTACCAGCTTATGCACTTTATTATCGATATATTATCCTGTTATACACAAGTTATATATGGCCTGTACTGGGGATTCACGAGCTGTTCTTGGGCAAAGAAACTCAGGAGATGGCAAGTGGGAAGCCGTACCTTCATCCGTGGACCAGACTGGCAAGAACAAAGAGGAGGTTGCAAGGATTAACCAGGAGCACCCTACCCTGGCGAAGAAGATATATCCAAAGATGGACGGGTACTGGTCTTGCAGTCTCACGAGCATTTGGCGATGGTCGGTTAAAGTGGCCTTTGGAACTGCAGAGGGATTTCACTAAGATGCTTTATGGACCAGCACTCCTGACACCCACATACAACGTCCAAACGCCTCCATATTTGACTTTCCGAGCCAGTCGTGACAACGACCATAATCTACTCTGGCAAACCCTCGTTCTTAATCTTGGCTACGGATGGTATATGGGATACGGCTCTCCAACCAGCAGGCTGTGGATCTAGTAGAATTATGGCTAGAATCGCAATCAGCGGAGACGAGAAACCGCAAGCCAGAGCCAACATATGGAACATTCGACTTTGGTCACTACTGGAAAGGGGTTAGCTGGAAGTTTGTAGAGGAGAGAACAACGATCCAAGATAACAATGTCGCTATGCACCTGATGCGGAACTCCCTAGGTGGAAATCATCACGAGTCAATTGCAGGCAAGCTTGCTGTTCAATCTCCATTCTCTCGCCGATTGAGAGATGGTATAAACTGTACCGGTGGTTTTCTTTAATGTTCTAAATCTGGGGAATAAATAAGAGGGTGGTCTGGTCTGGAGACGTTTGTAGCATATGCGCCGGTGAAATGCCACTACCCTTATCGTTTTTTTACTTATTCAATAAAGCGGAACTGGGTGTCAAAGCCCAATTTCTAGCATTAAGGTCCTTTGCGGGCTGATCCGGGTTGAAGACATTGTCAGGTGGGGAGTTTGGCTTAAAATCTGTAGGTGGGTTTTACAGTTTTCCAAAGATTTGATTGATCTTCCTTCATACATTCGGGAATGTGTTACACTATTTCAAACACGGGCGAGGACAGAGAGACGATGTATTGTGTATATATCCTCAGGTCTAGGCTACACTCTTGAGTCTTGAGCGACGTTTTGGGTTTTGCCTTTCCAGCCGGTTCTGGGTTCGAACTATCCAAAAGGTTTAGGCAGTGTTCAACTTCTACTTCTCCCAGCCAGTCTCTGTTTTCTTGTTCTCATAGGAAAGACAGGAAAGGAGAGGTTTGCCGATGCTTGTTATTAGAAGCGGGAGAGAAATAATCAAGTTGTTTCCAAAAAGGAATGGAGAGGAAATGTAAGTATTGTGATTATAAGTGAATAGTACATAGAAGTAATAAAAATATCATACCATTCTCAATCTTTCTTACATATTCAAATCAGAAATAAACTTTTTCTTTTTTTCCAAATCTGAAAATAGTTAGAGAAAATTTATATCATCTACTCGAGTACTAATTGCTATAATGATATTTTTTATCAGGAAGATTTCAAACTTTCATTTCTATTCTCTTTTCTTCTCTTCTGTTTTCTTCCAATCTCAAGATTAGGATTAGGATTAGGATTAGGATTAGGATTAGGATAGAATAGTAAATTCAATTACTCGAGTACTAGGAGCAGAAGACGAGAGCTCTGATTTTTTCCCTATTAGGAGCAGGAAAGGAGAAGAATTTCCGAAGAAAAAAGTGGGGAGGGAGATTTAAGGCTGGGAGAAGTATAATACTGAGTTGAGGTGGATTGGATAGGACATCCATATCACTCATAGCTGTAGGACTTTACTCAAGACTTAATTACGTTGCATATACTCGAGTATTATAGCAAAACCAAAGGTACTGAGCTACTGCAAACGATTGTCCTTTCAACTTCCTCCTCAGATATCTAGGTTTCGTTGCCCCGCGCCTTCTTACTCATTAGCCTCTTTCCTCGGTGCTATCCTCCTTCAAATTGCTATTGCGCTTCCCTTCGTTTCTTTCTTTCCTCAACTTTTCCAGCTGTGACCGAGCCTTCCAAAAGATCACCCAAAATATCTTTGATATATGATTCTCAACATCCTCTCTCATCAGAATCCAGTACTATAAACAAACTCATCAATTTTTGCTTCATCAAAGCAAACACTTCATATACTTGTGAAGTAGACTGATTTACAATTAAAATAGCAATTAGAATTTTCTGAATTATTTATAAAAGGAAAGCTACTACTAGTAGAGCTTTAAAAGAAAATCCTCAAACGAACTATATACAACTAGGCATAAATCTTATACAAGAACCTTAGATTAACACAATCTTATATCTTCAGGTTCTACTTGGAAGATCAAAAACAAATCCAAATAACAACAAAAATATAAGTGAACTTGTCGATTACCCCTTGCCCCTCTAAACACAATGTACTTTGTCCCTTCCATCGCCACCTAGCCTATACGCGAATGAATTCAGGGGCACTCAGCTTGGCAAGTGAAAGAAATGCACGGCGTTCATTCCTCACGAGAAATTCAATAGCAAGAAAACATACCCTCCCTTGAATTTCCTGAAATTCGACGTTCGTACTGCTGACTTAACATCAACTTAAAATTATATAGACGACCCGGAAAAAAGGTATCGGATGAAAGCCTTATGCAATGGCAGATGCGCCACAGTAAGCTTTGTATACTTTGATACGTATACTATGATATGCCGTCCGTTATTTTTATTTTTCGACAACATGCGACACGGCAACAAGAATGAGACACTGGTGCCCACCCACCCATGGTAGCAAGAAAAGTAACCTCCGGATTCCAAAGAGAAAATTCTCCCACACCCCAAACCAATGGTCACTGGAAACGCCGCATCTCATTAATTTACCATTCCGTCGGCATCAGTCTATGCACATGTACGACTTGGACTCGTATTGCGCCATGCCATTCAGGAAATCTTCGTGAAGATAATGGGAGGAAGAGCGGGTGCCGTGGTCACACCGCACCCCTTTGTCCAACATCCACTTGTGCCAATATGAGATGGGGTTGCGAATCAAAGGGGGAAATGGATGGAGTGGAAGGGTAGGCCGTT